ATTTGAAGCTTTTTTTTTCTAAAAGCTTCTGCCTAACTGAGGAGAACTGATTGTCTTTGAATCCCTTCATGCTCTGGCACCTTCCTACCTCTTCGACCTGCTTACTCCCCAATTCACTCAATCCCTCCACCTTACCCCTTCCTTCGCCATCTTCAGGTCACGCCTGACGACCTTCCTCTTTGACCGTGCCTATGGATACCTTCCCTCATTCCTGCCAGCTTGGAGTCATGCTCTGCCACTGTCAAGTGCTCGTGGATGATGTCCTGCATGAGGGGCGCTATATAAATGCAAGTTGTTGTTGACCGATGGATATCTCTCTCACACGCACATTTCAGAGCATTTCCGGGTGTCTTACAGAGAAGCAACAATGTGATGAGAGACCAGCTGTCTATGAACACATTTGACAACATGACTTCCATGGCTTTCTTTCCCCACAAGGCACTCCTACTGACAGAGTGAATATGTGTGCAAGTATAAACAATTCACAGGTCTTTCTCCACATCCCCAAGATGTGATAGATAGAGTGAAACAGCAGAGCTTTGTGTTTTCAATTAATCAGCCACGTTTTATTGTATAATACACGCAGGTATAAGAAACATACAACACTGCTGTTATAGAACTCAGTCAAAGAATTCCTCTTTTAAAACACTCTTGTAAAATCCATGGATCTAGTGTCACTAATAATAATAATAATCCGTACATTTGGTATATCGCCTTACGACATCTCAAAGCGCTTCACAGGATTAATTGTGGAGTGACTGTGTACTTGAAGGGAAAACACAGCAGTACAATTGCACACAGCAATGCCCCACAAACAGGCATGGATTGAGTGACCAATTATATTTGGTGGATAGTTGACAAGGAGCTGTGCTTGAAGCTCTGACGCATGCTGCCCATATTACAATCTGAGGCATCGTGGAGCTTAGAGCGTAGTAGTTAGCATGCTCGCCTTGCAAGTGAGAGGATCCGGGTTCAATTCCCAGACAGGGCAAAACTTTAGGCAAGTTTCCTCACTCCTCATGCCTCTGTTTACCTAGCAATAAGTAGGAACCCGGTTGTTAGTCAATTGGCTAACAATCAGAGGCATTGTTTCCCTCTACATTTAGTTATCTGGATAAAACCGCAAAGCTCAGCTCTCAAACAGACCCAATAGCACTTGTCCAAGCCCTCAATGTTAAACGGAAAGCAATCAAAGGCTTCTCTCCCTGCATGTGTGCTGGTAACAGTCACTGAAGCACAAGGCTTCAAAACCTCCATAAATTGGTAGGAAGACAGTCACCCCTTCTATGAGAGCCAGTCCCTAGTCAAACAGTTAGTATCTGCTTAAACACAAAATAGCAATATTACTACAGGATGACAACTTGCATTTCCAAAAATGACCATGTCAAATAACAACTCATAACATTTGACCAAAATATTATAATAATAATACAACTTCAACAACAACAACGTGTATCTATATAGCGCTCTTCACGTTGGACAGTGTCTCGGAGTTTAATAATCTTTGTATTTGATATTTCATCATGTCATTGAGACATCCCAAAATGCTTCACAGAATATACTGTAAAATGGATTGACTGTGTATTTTTGTGAGCGAAACGTGGCATTCAATATAGCGGTGGTCGACCAGCAGCCAAATTAAAGATCGAAAGATGTTGATCAAAAGCTCGATCAAAGACAGAGTATTTTTTTAAAAAAAGTTTTTTGAAGGCATTGAGCCTGGGATAATTGATAACACCTGACTCTCTATTGCTATTCATTTTCTGAATCTGACAGGCTATGAACTCACTGAGCCCCAAGGCAAGGCACACTAAACCAATTACCACGTGTGAAGGGGAACATTATTCACATAGAGCTGACACAGAGACAGTGCCTTACACCACCAATGGTTTTGCAAGTGTCACGAAAATAGAAATTAAAAATGATTAAAATCATTACTGGGGGCGAAGGGACATCACAACACACGGTACAGTGGAAAAGCAGTTGATTGTAGCAGCAGCAAATGTAAACCTTGCCTATTTACCCCCTCGGATGTTTCTTTATAACAAATGACACTGAACGCTGCATTGATTTCTGCTGACGAAATTGGACTGACATGAGTGGAGCTGGATGCAAGACTGATGCTTATTGAGTACAGTTATAAAATAAATAAATCAGGAAAAGTTCATCTTCCTTTCCACTTTACAAGTTTACGATACAATACGTTGTATAGCACCTTTCATGTCGGGAGGACGTGCCAAGGCGCCGGATAGTCAGGGATTTGGACCCGAGCTAGGGGTCGGGATCAGGGAGAGTGGAGGGCAAAGATGGTAGGAGGATGACTGAAGGCTCAGTCAAAGAGGAGTATTTTGAGATGCACCTTGAAGGAGGGAGCGAGGCAAAGGTAATGTGGGATGGAGTTTACCTACAAATACAGTCACTACACCTGACAGCAATTACTGTAATGTGTTTTGAAACATTTAAAAATTATATGAAACAATTTCACGAGCAAAGATTAATAATTCTTTAATATTATCATAATTGTTAGTTGATCACAGCAATAATAATAAAAGGACCTCACTGGCTCCTTTCACAGCTCAGTTTGTAAAGCCACTGGCTTGTGAAAGCTGATCACAATATAGATCAAGTGGTTTGTTAATGACTGCTTAACTCCAAGACATGTTGCTATATTGGAGCTCCCTTCAGAGGAATGCACTTTACAATAGACTTGACATTACTTCTGGTTATATGCTATAAACAACACACAGCGCCTTGTGACTTAAAGAGCCAAGATTTATTTTGCCGCATGTCAGAGCGGAACATCACCAAAGTGTAGTATTATATGAAAATGGTTCGAAATTAATCTAACTGGAGAGGTTCCCACAACATCGCAAACCACAAGAGAGAGACTAGAACAATTTATACTCAGATCTGAACTCAAAAATAGATGATAGATCTTGGTTTATGGGCACAAATTCTTGTTAAAAAAACTTTCCCTCTTCCCACAGTGGGACACCCTTCATCGCCCACCTTCCGCAGGGTAGAAGAGGAAGCCAGTGGAAAAGAGAGTGATTCAGTACCTTGTCTCCACCAGCACTGGAACCAGAAATAACTAAGTATTGCTGGGAATTGATGGCGATGTGGGAGAGGGGGGGATGGTGGAGGATGGGCGGGAGATGGAGAGGGGACGCGGGGAGGAAAGGGAAATAATTTTTCGTTTGAAGTGCCCTATCGCACCCAAGATCACTCTATTGAGAATTCTGGACACAAGTCCATAATCTGTCACCCCACAGGTTTTCGACTCCATTCACCATGTTTAATGCTTTGCCATTCTGCACTTCAACAAATAATAATAATAATAATCCTCGCGTTTGGCAAAGCATCTTATAATGTCGGAAGGACGACTCAAAACGCTTTGTAGGATTTACTGTGAATTGGAGTAACCGTGTATTTGTGGGCGAATGCCAGTGGCGCACAGCATTGTCTCGCAAATAGCCCAAATAATTTTGATGAAGCATTTAATTGTGAACAAAACTGTGTCGGTCTGACTCAGTTGGCAGCAGTCTCATTTCCAAGTCAAAAGGTTACAAATACAAGCCCCACAGCGGGGCTTTGAATCCACACAGTTCAGGCTGACACTCCAACCCTCTGATGGTTCACCGTCAGATAATGGGTCCATCCTTCAGATGAGAAAATAAAGTGAGGTCTTCTTGTTTGTTGATGTTTACGATCCCTCGGCACTATTTCTCCTGGGTGTCCTGGCCAACAATCCCCAAAATAATATTGGTCTCTCATTTCAGGGCTGTTTGTTTGTGGGACATTGCTATGCACAAATGGGATGCCGCATTCACCCACAAAACACACAGTCACTACACCTCACAGTAAATCCTGTGAAGCCCTTTTAAGACGTCCTCCTCCCATGAAGGCGTTATACCAAACACAAGGGTAAAAAATGATCCTACCATGGTAACCAATCCAGTATTTACTTAGAAGTAACACTGCCACTTCACAATACTGGTTCGTGGAGACCTGTAGCTCAGTGGTTAGAGCACTCGCTTTACAAGCGAGAGACCTGAGTTCAATTTCAGGCAGGTCAGGGCGAAACCTTGGGCAAGTTTCCTTACTCCACACGCCTAATAATAATCCCTCCAAAACCAAAAAAAATAATAAAAATTGGTCATTTTCAATCTATGACTGTTTGTGGGACATTGCTGTGCGCAATTGGCTGCCGCGTTCGCCCACAAATATACAGTCAATTCACTTTACAGTGTTTTCTGTGAAGCACTTTGGGACGTCCTCCCGACGTGAAAAGCTCTCTATCAAATGCAAGGATTATTATTATTATTATTCATATTATTCATTTGTACGGTATTCAAAGGTATTCGCACTTTTATACAATGTATGCTTAAACCCACTATATTTCTATACCTCTGTGTTATCAAACAATTGTCAAATCAAATGTACGCCACTCCAACAACACGAAAACTTCACAGGGGAAAATTATTCGGATATTATAGGACTGCAAACAAGGTCCCACGTTATTCTTATTCTTCGCGTTCACATATTGGACCATTCCGACAACAACAAATTACATTTGTAGAGCCCCCTTCATGTCGGGAGGACGTCCCAAGGCCCTGGACAGTCGAGGTTTGATTCCGACCGCCGAGAGGAAAAACACAAGCGTTTTGTCCTAACGCAGGGCCACAGGGCAGAATGCTACTTAAAGACTCTGGTGTCAAGGCATTAGCACAGCATCTGTCGGCTTTCAGCAAGTGAACCCGAATCCTGCACCTGCGATGGTTCAGAGATTGGGGCTATTTAACAACCTCTGGGGAACAGAACCCACCAAGTGACCTCTGCTCTCACCCTTCTTCACCCACAAACACACACACACACACACACACCATTTACTTTATCTAATTTTTTTTTGGGGGGGGAGGGTGGGGAGTTGGTGGGGGGTGGTGGGGGAGGTGTTGAGGGAGAATATCAACAACACACATACTGGGTACCTTGGTACTCACCATGTCGTATACGTTGAGAATAACCGGTTCGTTTGCCATCTCTCGTTGCGGATTCCACACTGTTCCAATATAATCCTCAAAATCTCTCTCTGTGCCAGTTCTCTCTCACTGGCCAGTGATCCTGTTGCATCCGAGCTTAAACACGTGGGATACAGATGCATATATAACAATATATATATATGTGTGTATATATATATATATATACTGAGAGAGAGATGGAGAGGTAATTTGCAGAAGCAGGATTATAACTCCCCCTACTTTGTGCAATGTGGCTGTTTGAAGATACAGGAGTCACGGATCATCCATAAATAGTGCCCAGCTTTCCCCCCCCCCACCACCCAACCACCCCCAACCCCCACCCCCCCTTCCTTGCTCGTCGCTGCCACTTTACAATGAATTCATGGTGAGGGCTCAGACGTGACCGTTTCTTTCTCTCTCTTCCTGCATCAGGCAGAAAAATATCGCTGCAGTTCACGTTTTCCCACTCAGCCGAGCAGCACGCTTCATACTGGCGATGGTCTGTGTGTGTGTGTGCGGGGGGGGGCGGGGGGGAGGTGTTAACTGGGATGAGAGATGGAGATGGAGATGATGGAGAGGATTTGCAGGGGGGGTGGGAGAGAGAAAGAGATGGTCCCTTTGGCTGTAACACTGCGCTGGCCAAGGTGCTGACAGCAGTGAAGCGCTCTGTGTGTGTGTCTCTCTCTCTCTCTCTCTGCGGCTCACTGTTACACAGTGTAGGGTGACATCACTTGGAATGGTCCCGCTGGCACACAGGCAGCACAGGCTTTTAAGCAGCCCCAGCACACTGACATGGAGATCTGGTTACATCATGAACGACTGTAATCCTCAAAGACACGACACCCTTAAAGCTAGACTGTAACTCGCTGCGTGCATGCGTGTGTGCATGTGTGTGCATATGTATGCATGTATGTATATATGTATGTATGTGTGTGTGTGTGTATATGTGTGAGTGTGTATGTATGTGTATCTGTGTGCATGGGTGTGTATATCTGTGTGTGAGCGTATGTATGTGTGTGTGTATATCTGTGAGTGTGTGTATATATATATGTGTGTATATGTGTACGTGTGTGTATATATGTTCGCATGTACGTATATGTGTGTATATATGAGCATCAAATGCAAGGATTATTATTATTATTATATATGTGTGTGTGTTAGTTTATTTGCGTGTCGGTGCATGTGTCTGTCTATAGAAATGTAATTTGTTGTTGTAGGTCTGTGTATGCATATAAGTGTTTATATGTATATATTTGTATGTGTGTGCGTCTGTGTGTATGTGTGTGGGGCAGGGGTTGGTGGGCTGGAGTGGGGGGGGGCATGGAATAACAGTCTCATGCACAAGCTGGTTGGATGGATAAGACCGAGCACCTTTGTATCTTGCCTTTAAATCTCACAACCAACCAGAAAACAAGGGATAAAAGGATCGAGAGGCGCCAATTTAAAGATGCTTCTTACTATTAAATGAAAATAAGTCTTAAAAGGGTTGCATTGCTAAGGGGTGGAGGGAAATGTTGACTCACCAGTGGCAGGGGAGGGATTGCGAGCTTTTCCTTTCTCTCCTGATCTCTATTGCTGAACAGTGGAAGCTCGTGTGTGTGTGAGGGGTTGGTCCAAACCAGTAGAACACACGCTTTTTCACTCTTAGAACTCAGACGGTTGGAATTGGCATTTCAAAAAGCAAATCATGCCAATCTTCCAAAGTGTGAATGACGTAGTCATTTCTTTAGTCAGCCGGGTGTCTGACACACGCTGAAACCCATCAGCATGCTTCAGATATGCTCAAACCAAACTGAGTATTCCACGCATCCCATCTACACATGGAAATGACAGAGATAGACTGTTGGAATGGAATACGCACTCTCTCCCTGGAGGGATGCATCCTGCTTACCTACTTCCGGAAAGTATTTGCCGCAGGTTGGCAAAGGCCAAAGCTTGGGGGACTCCAGAGTGTGCGTTGGGGTAAATTGCTGGAGTCTAACCAGCTAAAACCGCACGGCTTGCCATTGATAGCACCCTCTGGAAAGCTTTCCCACTGCTTGTCCAGCTCGGACCATCAAACAGTATCTGTGTTCTCATTCAGTCCACATTCAAACATGTTACCAGCAATAAATCTGCACCGTGAGCAAAATTCAAGGGGCCGCTTCCTAACCTTTTCATATTGTGGCCTTTAAGAGCCCTTTCAAACGCAAGATAATAATGCAAATATTACAACCTGGAACAACAACAAGATTGCATGGAACTGGAGACTGAGAGCTGATGAGGGCATTAAGTGCTTCAGGCCTCCCTGGGTTTAACCTGGGATGGCTATTAGCACCATCAGTGAATGGGGAAATTAAATTGTGGTGTAACTTCAGCTCTAAATTCCTAACAGAAATGCAAGCGTTCGCCTACAGACTGATGCCCATGCTCTCAGATAATTAGGATTTTCCTTCATAATGATCTATTGGTTATTAATCGTCATCGAGAGCAAAGTGTCATTACTCTGATACTATATTTACTTAAGGCTGGAAGCTGATAAATGAAAGAGACCGAACATGGTTGTTTATCACATTAATAAACTCTGTTCAAGACCTGTGGTAACTGCTGGCAACGTGGGCACTGGTGCTGCTGTCAATAGGTATTGAACTATAATGAAAATTATTGATCCGTGGACATCAATTATATTAAGGCAGGAGAGTTTTGTGAGCTCTTAGCACACTCTAAGAAAGATTGCATCTGGAAATTGTATACCCCGACTGTCAGTTATCCACAAGCTCAATGTGGAACCACAAGACTGGTTGGAAGTTTACAAGAAGCTATTTCGTTCACCTCGTAAGTTCCGAGTTGCTTCGTCATTCTGTTTCGGTCCAAAGCAATCTAGGCAGAATGGCAGGAGCGAGGCTTCCCACACCACTGCTCCTGTTATAGACCTCTATTCCACTCTAATGTTGTTGTCTGGAACTCAGCCCCCTGCGAGATAGCAGTTCAAAAGCAGAGTTGACCATTGTTTACTAAACCAGATTACTTCAGAGAACGCATTAATCCCCAAGATATCCAAATTCCCAAATTGCATCCGTGTACCATTTCTCCACGTCTATCTCCACTCCCCCCTAGAATCAAAGTCATATGTGATGCCAGCACTGGCTACCAATGTCTATGGGAAGCCATTCCTTACATACAGGGAAACATTTAATCTTTACTTTACAAAGTGGTGGATTTCAGTTTGTCAGTTCAAATAAATGGAGCAATTACTGGGGACGGCATTAGGTTTGCAGGTTCACCCATAAAATACACAGGCGCTACACTTTTCAATAAAATAATTTTAAAAAATATTATTGAATCCACGACTGTTTGTGAGACACTTTTGTGCACAATTGACTGCCGCGTTTCGCCCACAGAATATACAGTCAATCCACTTTGCAATATGTTCTGTGAAGCGCTTTGAGACGTCTCAATGACGTGATGAGGCTCTATAATCAAATATCAGGATTATTATTAATAGATCTAATATTTATTGAACAAGCAAACCAGACACTCTAATATGAGCAACAAAGCTACCTGAGCACTATCCAGTCAGCTCCATAAATGGGTGATGTGTATATGGCATCCAATTTGTAACTATTTAGTACATTACTGTTGTACACTCTCAGTCCAAACCTTCAGCTTTGAGTTCTTTGTGATAGATGTTGCCAATGGAGATTTACTAACGATCACTTGTTGTAATGATGTGTTTTGGGGCCGCAGGTTGGGGAAGGGTTTTGCAATTGATTGGCTAATCTGCAAGCATCACACATAGTATTCCTGCACATGACAGCTTCACTTGCTGCATGGCTTTCAGTGAAACACGCTGGATTTTGCATAGACCTAATGGCCTCTGCTTTAGTCAGCACTAAACTGTCACTAAAGGGAAGAGAAAAAAAAATGTTGAAAGTTCATAAGGTCTGGAGATGTATTGACAGCTCTAAGGAAATGCATGCCGCTGTGCAAATTGGGGATTTCAAACAGCAAACGCATTGCCTCGCAGATAGGTCAGCTGACAGATTCACAGTGTGTAACCATTATAGAGAATGTGGTAATTTGCTGCAGTAAACTGAAGTCTGTTCTAGGGTCAGAAGAGATTTATTACAGAGAATCTAAAAAGCATATAATACTTCAATTTGACAATGTACTTTGTCACCTAGACATGCCTCGCAATGAGCTACTGCACACAATGAGACACTTTGAAGTGTAGTGACTGTTTTGTGGACATTCACGATACCTAACTTGTACCAACAACACACCACACCCGCAATGAGTCAAATGCAGTGTTTGTGGGACCCTGCTGTGCGCAATTGGCTGCCGCATTTTGCCCACAAATCAATTCACCTTACAGTATATTCTGTGAAGCGCTTTGAGACACCTGGAAGACGTGAAAAGCGCTATATCAAATGCAAGAATTATTATTAGTGCCCAATTAATCTCTTTTGTTTGGTGCATTTAGAAGAGGGATGACTTTTGCCTGGGGCACAAGGGTTGGGGGGTGTTGGGGGAGTGGAGGGATGAAATATGGGATCTTTAACAACTACCTGAAATGCAATAGGAGGATGGTTTTGAAGCCTCATCTAAAGAACTGCACGTAGCTAAGATTTCCACGCATCCCACCTACACATGGATATTCCAGAGATCGATTGTTGGAATGGATTGCGCACTCTCTCCCTGGAGGGACACATCCTGCTTACCTAATTCTAGAAAGGATTTGGCACAGGTTGGCAAGAGCCAAGGCTTGCGTTGGAATACTGCTGGAGTCTAACCAGCTATTAATATTGCTGTCTGGCAAACTTTCCCGCTGCTCGTGCAGCTAGGACCCCCCTACTGTTCAGGCTTTGGCCTGCGGGATTAATAGGAACTGAGTGGGAATGATTCCCCCCAAACAATGCAACGTTTGCCCAGCACTGCACTAAACGGGACTATTAACCTGGATTATGTTCACTTTTCAATTAGGACTGTGAGATCTTTAATGTCCACCTAAACGGGAAGACGGGACCTGGGTTTATTGACTCATCTGAAAGTTGGCATTTCTGACAATGCAACATACCCCAAGAGTATGCACCAGAGTGTCAGCCGAGACGATGAGTTCAAAGTCTCGATGTGTTATGGATTTGAATCAGTCTTTTATTATTAGATCATAAATTTTCACTCTTCACTTCCCAAAGTGGATAGTTCAGCCCATCTTGACAATAATTTGCTGCTCTATATTCCTTACAGTTTTAAACAACTTCCTAAAGGCATGCATATAAATGGTACTTCCAATGCTCAGCAGACACTTACAATGTTCATATCGTTTTACAATACCA